CTGTGCCCCAATGGAGAGATGGGTAAAGACACAGGTATTGGACAGCAGGTGTACAATAAGCCAAGCAAGTAATAACCTTTATTTAAAAAAGAGGCTTTCTCTCATTTCGGTGCCAACTTCCGCTTTAAAATGTGTTAAATTTTGCATGGCCTTAGTCATCATGTCACCCATCTCACAGTAAAACCAGGTGAATTTAACAGGGGGTCTGCATATCCTTGTTTTTATACTTCTTTTCCAAAATAGAAATAGACAAAGCATAAGCTCCAAGGATCGCAGCATTTGACTATTTGAGACCCGCACAGATAATGAACCAAAGGTCAAATAAATCAAAGGCGTTTATGAGTCCCACTGCCAAACTCTTCTATTCTCCACAGACTAATTTGTATTCGTATGTATTGTAACAGCTGGTTAAAATGCAGAACTCTTAAGTACACGCCACACAATCCTCACAAGGATTAATTTATCTCTTCACTGAGCAGTGTTGTTTTTGCCAATTCAAAATAAAAACATGGTCACAGACACTATTTCCACGGAGGCTCATTATTGGCAGTGGAGCTTCCATTGAAGAATGGTATTCTCCAAAGACACTCAGCATCTACAGGAAGAAGCGGTGTCAAAGAGAAGACACGGTCTAGCTATACACGACAGAGGACCTTGACAGCTCTCAACTGGCCACCATCCATACCGTCTTCTAAGCCAAGACGTTATTTCGTATCTTAAATCTAAACGAAATAACATTTGAGAAAACTCTGCTCGTTGGCATACTCGTCAAATAATGCTACCTTCTGCCGACCACTGTCCTCTGCGTAATTCCCAGCAGAGTGTGTCAGAACTGTGCTTGGAATAATTTAATCCAGTGAGTACGGCAAATCAGATTAAAAACTTGTCTGCTGCACCTGATCACACAAATGGTTCCCCAACTCCCCAGTGGTTCTGGAGCCTCACGCACCTGCTGGTCCTTGTTCTGCTGGAGCACCCTAATGAAACCGCCGAGTGCTTAATAGACTTCAGTAAAAGTAGGTGCAAACAGAGAAAAATTAAACTGAAGCAAAAAGGTTCCAATCCGGCAACCTGCCCGTTGAAAACGCAGGATCCGATTAAGTAAAGGAATGGCGATGAAAGCCAGCAGCTGCCAGGGTCCCCAGGAGAGGGATTGGGATCGGGAGGGATCCCTTGAAACTGGAAGCCAGGCGCCATGAACTCACCACTGCTTCTGGTCGGCGTCACAGTTGCAGTAGTACTTGGGGTCGGTGCAGTTCCGCTCAATCCCACAGGCACACTTCTGGATGCCGGGGCTGGAGCCACCCCAGTAGAAATGCTTCTCGTTGGACTTGCCAACCCACCAAGTGTAAGGGGCCCCGTCTAGAACCAAAACGAAAAGAAAAAAAAAACATTAAGCATGTTTGCACGACTATGGACATTTTCATGGCACCATTCAAGCCCGGCGGGGGCCGGAGTACAGGCAAGCTTGAGTAATCACCTGGGGGCTGGAGAGGCACACGTGGGAAATCACCTGTTGGACGGATTTGCTCGCAGATTACACGGCTGGGTAACCAATTTAATTCGAACTCGGCATCTGGAAATCTTGGAAATCGGTCTTTTAAACAACGCCCTGCTGTAACTGGCCCCCAGAGCCGATTTCCCGCCTGGAATGTTCTCCCCTTAAACGTTTTGTTACATCTCTGCAGAAGAACATAGCAGAAGCCCGGTTCAGGTCTTAAATTGAAGCGAACCCCCTTGGAATTAAGAGTAAACAATCAAATTTTTTTACCTCTTAACGTGTCCACCCAGCAGACAAAAATATACAGAAGAAAAAACAAACCAAACAGCAGGCAAACTTTTCCCCCTGTCTTTAAAGATAATTTTTTATCAAAAGTTGTGGGCCTCCTTCCAAATAGCTGAAATTGCTTGTAGGCCTTGCCCTCGGTGTCTGCTAGCTAGAAGACTGGACCTGGAGCGAAATTTCTTGCATCCCCCCAAAATTTATGAATTTTTCGAGGCGGTCATTTTCAAAATTCAGTTGCAATAGCCCCAGACAAGGTAAAAACCTGGGATATATACTGTTTTTTGCTTTTGCGGTCGTGTTTTGCTGGGTTATTGATTATCGGTGTGCTTTGGACGTTTTTCTGAAATACGTCATCGGATGAAAACTGTTCTTGCGATCGACGGCCTCGGTGCTCTTTGGTTTTGTGAAGCTCCGGTTGTCTATTTACGATTGATATGAGGTTTTCTGTGAAGATTTGGGTGTTTTGTTGGTGAAATACTATGAAACGTGTTATTTGTCTTAAGTAAATCTGGACTTGGTGCTCAAGCGCTCGGTCCCTCGGGCGGTTTCGGGGGACAGAGGAATTGGCTACGTCCTGCAGAGTGGAAAAAGCATTTGCACACAAGTACTGTATGTGAAGGGAGTTTCGCTCATTACGACAAGTAAAAACAAGTAAAAACAGTCAGTTTCCTTCCTAAAGTACTGGAAACAAAGGGGAAAAAAACAACAACAAGTAAATGAAAGTGAATACGCAGTACTTGAATTTATGAGCTGGAGTCTAAAAAGCTTTTCGATTTGTTTTTGTTTGAAGAGTAATTTTCTGGTTCCCCGAAAAAAGAATTATAAAAAAAATCCAGTTCCATGAACACTGAGGGTTGATTGGTCTTTGGATAGTATCAATTGTCTGATCGAGTGCTCACCCTGCGCAGGGATTTTCATAAATGAAATGTCAGGCAGTAACTGCCATTATCAAGGCAAGGAGACGTATTCTGTTTGTATTGTGTAGGAGGTTGTGGATTAACCATCAGTGTAGCTGCAATAAAGGACTATTCAGTAATACTGATGCCAGTGTGCAGCACTTGTTAAAAAGAAGTTAGCATATTTCTTTCACGAGTCTCCACAGTGTATGATTTGCTAACACAGGGCAAGGCTGAGGTCGCAGATTTTTAATAAGTTGTATAATATTGCTTCTCCTACCTTGATACCAGCACAATACAGTATATTACATCCAAGCTTGCTGTATGAAGAACTATTCATCAGTTTAGCATATTGAGCAGAAGGTCACCAGAGAGCATAGTTAAAATAATACTCCTTCCCTTTCAAATGAAATTTAAATCCTTCACACTCAACAATCTGCTTTAGAATAATTTTTAGCATATCCATATTTTGTGTTCTGCGATAAAATGTAACACACAAAAAGTGTTAAAATATACTGTACATTGAATTTTGCAAAAAAAAAAAGTTGTTGTCCCATCATTTCATCTGATAACTTTTATTATGTAAGTATTATTTAAAATGTTCACCTTTAGAATGTGATTTCCATATTAACTTCTCCAAGAAAAATAGCTGCAAAAAAATGGAAAGACTCCTAGGACCTCCTGAGTAGCTTATCTAATACAAACTTCCATGTGTGAGAATTGGCAAGCCTTGTATCTTTGATGCTATTAGGCTGTTTCCACTGCTAGCCTGAACTAGTGTGTAGCAGAAGCAGAGTTGATGGTGAGATCTTAGATTTGCCACACATCAATGAGAGTGATGGGACAGTGAGTGCCGAAACTGGCAAGGACTGCGAGCTATACATTAAGTCCCTCGTCTGCCTCCCGTCATTTACTGTACAACACAAAACATTGATTGGGACAGTCCAATTAAAAGGAGGCCACAGCAGCAAGACTGCTAAATGCAGCAGAAAGGCTTGCGTTTTCAATCTGTTTGTTTGTTCTCCAGTTGGAGAGGAAGCTGATCTGTTCCTTCTTCTCAAACACACGGGACAGGTTTCATAACCCACAAGTAACTGTGGGGGACAAATATTTTTAATAAGATTGCACAGGAGGTTGTAATGATTCAAACTGCAGAGTAACGCCGAGAGTCTGACAATAAAAAAGGAACAACATATACAGAATACAAAAGACAGTCTACTCTGGGTATTTCCAGAAGACCTGGACATAAAATTTATACTAATTACATCCTAAAGAAAGACGAGCCAAGAGCAAAAGTTTGCTTGACTCAGTGTTATAAACTATGTAAATCCTTGATGGTTAACAACTCTCCTGAAGCAGATTTCCCACACTGCTTGGTTTACTAGACCATACAACTGAGCAGATGTGTGCTCCTGGTGTTATTATAAATATGCATTGAAGCTGCATCACCAGCTGCCTTGTAGCAGCACAGAAACTGATATTTGAATATTTGAATCAGTAAAATGAAAGATCAGGTCACACATCGAGTGCAAATTAATCTTTAGGAAGATGACCTACAGGTATTATTATAAAGACCTATTTTAGTGTAAATTAAATTTTAATTTCTACATTCCACTCTGACATAGAAATATATCGTTCTGTATATTTTTTTGAAAGAAATATATAGAAATGAATACATAAATATACTGTATAGAAATGACACTATTTGGTCCATTTTCACGTGTGCAGATAAATACACTGTTTCTCTGAGCTTCAGTGACCAGTGACGTCACCAAGCCAGTTCGGTTGCCTACACTGCTCTTCCTGGCCAGAAACTGAAGGCACAGGGAACTGATGAAACACAGGTGGAGGGCCTAGTATAACAAAAAGAAAATGCTACAATAAACATGACGGCAGATGGTTCTTTTCCTAGGAAGAGCCTTTCAGGAGAGGAAGCTGAGCTCCCACCACAGGCGTTTGTTAATGAGCTCCTGTCAACCTGACATGGAGCTGTTGTCCAAGCGCTAAGCACAGCAGCGCTGAGCACAAGATCTACACCTCTGTCGAGGGGGACGCATCATTGGGCCCGAACGTAGTTTCTGTTGCACGTTTTGCTTGTGTGCACATTTTTTAATTGTTTCTGCAAATATTCGTGATGATACACCCAGGGGTTGGTGTACCGTAGCGGCAATCGTGTAGAAGGTGGTGTCTAGGTAAACAGACATTCGAAGGCAGATGTAAGGTCTGAAACCAGTGCGAGAAAGAACGGCACACACCTCTTTGAGCTTCAGACTAGACTTCTGTTCCTACACTGAACAACACCAGGCAGCTGAGCTGCTTACTGGCTTTACAATCGAAGTCTCGTCGCGACTCTTCTCAAAGCCAGGTTTCTCTGCGAGGCTCCCAGAGGCTCTCCTCCCACTGTTGTGATGCAGTATAGTGGACCTGCCCTGTCCCGGTCCTCAGACAGCAGAACAACGTTCTCTTTCTTCGCTTGCTCTCTTCTTGGAAGTTTTAGCTGCCTGGCTCCTAAGCTGTCACCCGACCAATTATCTTCGCCCAGCTGGGTGAAGGGTGACGTAACACAACCACCCCCCCCCCCAGCATTCCCGGAAAAGTAGATCAGAAACGGTCTCGTCGGAATTTGTCGTCTTGTAGCACTGAGGCAAGTCATGATCCTGCAAATCATATTGAGATTAATTTTGACTTGAAAAAACTTTTTGTTTCATTGTGGTTGAGATTTCGCTGCGAAATCCAGAAAGTTCAGTGTTTAATTCAAACCCTGAAAAAAGAACCTTAAATTACCTTACTGTGGACTTTTGCATGTTAACCTGAAGCACCAAAATCTTCAGATTTTAAAGTTTACCAAAGCATACTTATAATTTTGATATTTTATAAAATAATATATTCGTAGACTTGTACATATAAATCAGTCCCCTAAAATTTATTTTTGTGATATTTTGTATTTATTTCATTAGAGGAAGAAAATGAATTTATCACAAATTAAGAGTCAAACCTATCCTGCAGAGAGATCTGAGTTTCTTTCTAATTATTATGTATGTGTGGCAACACAGAATTTGTCTAGTGTAACTATTAGCAGAGACAAATATTTCTGCTCTTTACAGAAACTTGATCATGAAGGCCCAAAACTCATTTCCATGGTATAAAGTTATTTTTCTTTTAAACCAATAATACCTTTTCTTGCACAGATTTCATCCCTCTGTTATTGTAAAGGACAGATTTTCAATCTTTATTAAACAACCCCAGCTTACAGCTGCCTTAGATTTCCCCAACCATAAGACAAGCGCACAACCAAAAGCTGTGCCTCTGTTTTTATATATAGAATTAGAATGCAGGAAAGAAAGGGCTGCTGTCATGCGTAAATGGTATTGCTTTGCCTTCTTGCAGAGGGCCTGACTGACAGCTTCATTTCCCTGTCGGAGAGATCGCATTTCTTCCTCTCAGCTTGAACGCTGGGTCTTGAGGACTATTACACCGCTGTCAGCAGTCATATTCGCATGCACAGCAGCAGAAATCCCTGTTCGTTTCTTGGCTCACGGTTTGTTGGAGGCTCTGCTGGGATAAACTCCAACCAGACCCTCCACATGTGAGCAAGTGAGGTAACTCCACAGAAAAACATCACATAGACCAGGTGGAATGTAGGAAGGGCTGCTCCTTTAGTGAATTCTATATAATTGGAG